TAGCAATTTGCTTTTAACTATTGCTTCATCTTGTAGACATACATTTAGTATCAAAAGCCTTGTCACGCACAGGCACCAAAGCACTGTCACGAGCAAGCACCATCAAAAGCCACGAGCAAGCATCAAAGCCACGGGCAGGCACCGAAGGCCTGTCATGAGCAGGCACTAAAACCTTGTCCCACGCAAGCACTTAAAGCCTTGCTCATCGCAAGCACTCTAAGTCTTGCCCTGCTCAGGGACTCTAAGCCCTGCCCCCAGTGCAAGTACCTCAAAGTCTTGTCCCGAGCAAGCACTCCAGCCTTGACCCACGCACCCATGCAAGCACATCAAAATCTTGCCCTGAGCAAGAATGGCAAGCCTTACCCCGTGCAGGTATTCTAAGCCTTACCACGGGTAAGCACATCCAGGTCCCACAATGCCTCAAGTAAAAAACCCGACTACGAGTCTATCCCGAGCTTGTCAGGCTCAACCTATTCTCAAATCCATGGGAATAGAGCTCAGCATATCATTTCACGTTGGGCTTGGGGCCCTGTCCTCGAGCTCAATAAAATGTCAAATCTCTGCCACTACAGCTCTGGATAACTGTGTCACGTCAAGCTCGAGGACCTGTCCTTGAGCTCAATCCAATGCCAAATCCCAGCCATAAAGCTCGGGATAATTGTGTCACGTTGAGCTCAGGGGCCTATCCTCGAGCTCAATCCATTTTCAAATCCTAACCACAAGAGCTCGAGATAAGTCTCTCACATTGGCTCGAGACTGTCCTTAAGCTCAATACACTGTCTAATCCCAGACACAAGGGCTCGGGATAATTATCGTACATTGAGTTTTGGCTGTCTCCTATATGAACCATTGTCTATTCGTTGAGCTCATTCTTTTCAAAAATTTTAAACGGAGCTCGAGGTCGAGCTCCTTCTTTTCCACTTCTATACATGGAAGGGGTCAAGCCCTTACTTTAAAATTTTTCAACAAAGCTCCAAGTTGAGCTCCTTCAATTCATATCTTGGAAAGCTCAGGTCGAGCTCCTTCATTTTAAATTTTGGTAAAGCTCGAGGTCGAGTTCATTCTTGCCGAAATCCTTTACAAGGTAGGGATCAAGCCCTTTCTTTCAAAATTTATTAACAAGCTCAAGGTCGAGCTACCTTCTTTCAAAATTTTCAACAAGGTAGGGACCAAGCCCTTCCTCCCAAAATTTATGAGCTCGAGATCGAGCTCTCCTCTTCCAAAATTTTTGACGAGGTCGGGGTCTAAATCTCTCCAAATTTTTTAATGAGCTCGAGGTCGGGATCCTTCTTTTCAAATTTTTAAATAAGGCCCGTGCACAATGTTCTTTCAAAATTTTAACAATGTTGGGGTCGAGCCCCTTCGCTTCAAATTTTTAATAAGGTTGGGACGAGCACATTCAAATTAAAAAAAAAAAAGTTTGATATCGAGCTCATTCCTTTCCGATTTTTCAAAGTGGTTGAAACTTAATATCCTAGATCTATGTGCTCGAGTGCCTATCAACTCGTCATCAGCATGCCAACATCTAGGCATGAGCATGACCACTCCTTGGCTGAGCTCGCTAACTCCTTGGCATGAGCTCGCCAACTCTTTATCATGACCATGCCTAGTCCTTGGCATCAACATGCCAACCTTTAGGCATGAGCATGACCATTCCTTAGCATGAGCTTGCCAACTCTTTAGCATGATCATGCCTAATCCTTGTCATCAACATGCCAACCTCTAGGTATAAGAATGACCACTCATTTACATGAGCTTGCTAACTCCTTGGCATGAGCTCACCAACTCTTTAGCATGACCATCCCTAATCCTTGGCATCAACATGCCAACCTCTAGGCATGAGCATGACCATTCCTTGGCATGAGCTCACCAACTCTTTAGCATGATCCTGCCTAATCCTTGGCATCAACATGCTAACTTATTGGCATGAACTCCCCAACCTCTAGGCTTTGGCACACCTATACCTAGGCATAAGCTCGCCAACTCTTTAGCATGATCATGCTTAATCCTTAACATCAGCATGCCAACTTTTAGGCATGAGCATGACCACTTCTTAGCATGAGCTCCCCAACCTCTAGGCTTTGGCACGCCTATATCTTAGCATGAGCTTGCCAACCTCTAGGCATGAGCATGCCCTTATCTTGGCATGAGCTCGCCTATCTCTTGGCATGAGCATACCCATCACCCGACATGGTTGTGCATCTCATCCTAGAAACTTGTATATCGCACAAGCTTCTGACATGGAAGCACGGGGGCCAGTGATGTAGTCACTTTTGGCAACCTCCTGAGGTGATTCTCCCAAGGACTTACAGGGTCTTGCTCATTACATATTGGGTCAGATAGTCCTTGAGGTAATACACCCGTGGGGTGGCAATTTGCATCCTCGTGATATGATCGATAGTGTCCTCGGGCATCCTTTTGATATACGGGGTTCATGAGTCATCGAGCTATTTTCTTAATACCGAACCCCCCCTTTTGTCAAGCCCATAAAAAGTCATACCTTCTAAGGACTTTAATATGATTCAAAGACCTCAACTCAGGACTCATATGTCCACAGGAACTCTATGTCAACAATAGCATCATTAGTCATGTAATTATATCACAAATAAAATACTCCTCTAAAATAGGACTCTATTGGATAAGAACATCCAACTGATTCAATCCTATTAGGAGTACACTACCTACCTCAATAAATACATGACCCAAGTCCATTATTCAAGTACGCTTTTACATACAATTTTAGCATATATCCTCATATATTTTCCCCTTCTAACTTAAGCATCGGAGGGGCAATGAAGATACATTTCACTGCCTTTGTTGCAGGTACCAGAAGGCCTCGTTCATGCCCTTTCTCAGTCCTCATACTCGGGAGATCTACCAGGTACGATTTTTAGTAGCCTCAAATATCATAAGCGTTAATAAGGAAAAATAAGAAACCATTGCTGCTTTAATGGTTTGTATATGTATTTAGTTCAATTTATATAGGAGGTAGGGTGGGGGAAATGGAAGAGGAAGGTATAGCATATTAATTGGTTTATATTATTCGGTTTTGAAGGGCGGATTCAATACAACGTTAAATGCTAGGTTGCTGTCACCATTTTATTGGTATTGTAAGAGTATTTTCAAAAGACTCCCTATTTATAAAGAATATATTTATGCATAATAGAGAGTATTTTTAAATTTAGAAAGTAATTTTTTCATACACTCTAACAAGCTCTCTATTTTTATTCTTTATTTTTTTTTCAAATGAACATTTAATAATTTCTTCACATATTTTATTTAAATATAATATTTTTATATATATTAATGACCAATCAATTCAAATTGTAAAGTATTGAAATTTGTAATTTATTAAATGCAATTACTGTACATGAACAGGGACTGAATTTGACTCTCTAAATTTGGAGTCACACACTCTCTACTTTAAAAAGTTAAAATAGAGAATATTTTGGAAGTTATTTTAAGTATTTTCTTTTTAAAATAGAGCGTATTTTGTATTTAAAGAGTCTCTTGGAGATGCCTTAAGCCGGTTAAAATTCATTTTTCTTTAATTGGAGTTTTTAATGAGTTGTTGGACTAAATGCAGTTGACCGGTACATGAAAATTAGTAGTTGTGTAGGTATTAAAAATCTAGTTACTTAGCCCCCGTTTGACCCCAATTAAGCCCATATTTGTCATCTATTTTCTCTCATTTTTTTTCATTATTTTTTCTACAGTACTCATTTTTCACTACACATTCTTCATTAAAATAATATTACACGTAAATCAAAAAAAATTCTTTTTTAACAACACATTTCAACATCAATCATTATTCCATAATACATTCCTCCCAATTAATGGGTGACAAACACATCCTAAATTACATTTAGTTTTTCTCTCTCATACTTTCAACAACACAATTTTCTATAAAATAATATTTCACGTAAATCGAAATTTTTTCTTTTTTTTTTTAACCATTCATTTTTCAAAAAAATACTACTCCACCCATTTTTATTTTTTAAAAAGCGGGGGGGGGGGGGGCAAACGGGGGCTTTATTTTTTTTTTTTGATTTTATGANNNACGAGATCTTAATTTTTTATTTTAGATCTGATGATTATTTAATGGAGCCCAGAGGAAGAATTCGTGTAATGATCGGATACGGTTTAGTCCCCATTTGATACTTTGAGGGGCAAAAGAAGATTAACTGTCTTGGACACAGAATCTTGGATTAAATCCATTTTCTCTATCAAAGCCATAGTGAAAGTTCTTTTAAAACTCATTTTTAACCACATTTTTCTAATAAAGTAATTTTGTTTGAAGACCCGTAAATTTTTCCTACTTTTTTAACGATACATTTTCCAAAAAAAAAAAAGGAACAGTTTTCACAAAATCTACTCTAAAGAATCTTCATGCCGTTAGTCTATTCTGTATATAGGATCACGATTCACAATAAGCAAGATTTGCAAAATTTTTGAAACACAATAATGAACCATTTTATTAGAATATAATGACTAGATTGTTAAATTATTTAACATATTCAAATGTTCAAATTATTTAAACTATGAAGTTATTATTTTATTTTATAAAACCTTATTTAATGTCCAATTTTACTTTTCGTCTAAATATAGCATTTACATATCCTATACGTTTCTTGGTTTCGTGCTACCTTAATAAGTGAAAATTAGTTCGTTTTGTCCAAAAACATGTTCGGAAAAAAAAAATGAAGAAAAAGACGAAGTAACTTATAAGTAGCAAAATCAAACAAATTCTGTGTCTACTACTTTCAAAACAAATTCTCTCTATAAGTCATTCTATTTTTAGTAAGTAGGTGCAAAATATTTTGGTTAGCTCCGTGAATATCTGTGTGACAACCCAAGATGCACGGATAACCATGGAGCTAGTGGCAAAAGGTATGGCTGTAGTTGGTTTATCCAACAGAAAGAAAAGTGCAGACCAACACAATTAGCATCCTCAAAAAGTTTAAGGTATGACAATTATAGTAATTAAAAAACAATGCAGCACATTTTCATCTTCTATATTAAAGAAATTCAATCGTTATGCCACCAAGAAATTCCAACCAGTCTCGATCCAAGTCATTCATCCCTTATTTGGCTTTCATCATCTTTTCTGCCATCTTTGTTTTCAAGGTTTTCCTCTAAATTTTAGATTAATATTTTCCTCTTCATGCTGTATATATACGTATTTGTGCGTGCACACGCGCGTTGTATATTTTCTTACAAGTAGGATTTTTTTTGCACGTTGCAGGTCGACGTTATTATTTCTCAAACCATCTCTTCGGCTCGCCGTAACGTAGAAATTGCTACTAGGTATTTTCTATGCAATTACGGTCGTTGAATCTAATGTCCTAGACATACTTTTATTCTTTTTATCATGTGCATATTGGTCATATGACTCATATCAGAGATTCTTAACTTCATTTTTATGGTAGTGCTCCAAATGTTGTCATCGGAAATGGTACATTTCACCGTCACTTTATTGTCTCCTGGGGCGAGAGTCGTGCTCGGATACTCGAGGACGGTGAGTTACTTGAGCTCTCACTCGACAAATTCTCAGGATCAGGCTTCGAGTCAAAGAAAGAATTCTTATTTGGAAAGATTGACATGCAAATAAAGCTTGTTCCTGGCGACTCGGCTGGAACTGTCACAACTTACTACGTAAGAAACACTAACTTTAATGTCTTGAAACGCACTTGTCTAATCCTTAAATTTGGAGATCTAAGGATGAATCCTTTAGACGTGTATCTAATGTTCGAGTTTTGTCAGTTGTCATCCGAAGGTGATCACCATGACGAGATAGATTTCGAGTTTCTCGGCAATTCAAGTGGGAATCCGTACACGCTTCACACCAATGTGTTTAGCCAAGGAAAGGGTGAAAGAGAACAGCAATTCTTTCTATGGTTTGATCCAACTGAAGATTTCCACACATATACCATTCTTTGGAACCCTAGATGCATCCTGTGAGTACTACTTTTTTGTCCATCAAATTCACTAACATGAAAACGTGACATGGCTAATCGGAAAACTAACATCTACGTTAATCATTAGTTTTATGTGTACTGCAATATATTGCAAAATAAGTTAGACGGCTAGAGGGAAACATTTATTTATATAATTCGATGACTTATACTACGAAAGAACTTAGTGTTCTAATTAAATTCTAACTTCTTTTTTTTCGTTAATCATAAGCTTCTACGTCGACGGCATTCCAATTAGAGAATTCAAAAACTTAGAAAGACGACGAGTTCCATTCCCAAAAGATCAACCTATGAGAATCTACTCAAGTTTATGGGATGCAGAAGAATGGGCTACGCAGCATGGTCTGGTTAAAACGAACTGGACTTTGGCACCTTTTACTGCTGGATACAGAAATTTTTCTGCAGAAGCTTGCGTTTGGTCATACAAAACTAAATCTTCTGCTTGTAATTCTAATGACTTTAAGTCAAAAAGATGGCTAAAAACGGGGTTGGATTCAAGAAGCCGTGCAGAAATGAAAAGATTGCAGAAGAAGCATATGGTATATGATTATTGTAAGGATAAATGGAGATTTCCCAAGGGTCCTGGAAGAGAATGCAAATTTCAGTAGACATGGACTCGATATAGATTCATTTATCCTGACAATTTTCCATTAATTACCATTAATTGGTAACAATTTTCTTCAATTTTTGATTGGTAGCTAGCTAGACATTTGTTTTGTATATGTAACTCTTTCGAAATTCATTTCTTTTCAATGAAAGTCCTCTTATTGAAAGTTTGCATAGTCAATTAATTTTCATTATATTATTCGAAATTTTTACACATGTACAATTTTGATAAATAGTTGATAGTTCGATTTGAATTCAATTATTGAAATATGTGAAGACGAAAATGGAAGTTACTAGATTGATGCGAATATAATTACTGGTTGTTCCAAGAGCCAATAGAAGTTCCTAGAGTGTCCCATAGTAGTCACCAATATGTACTAGTGCTTTTCTTCATCATTAAAAACATTTTACCTACTAAAACCGCGTGCCAAATTTCACTTTCTGTTCCAAAGTCAAAACTATTAGGGTCCTTGTGATTGTAAAAATGAATTGAATTACCTAGAAAATAAATTTCAGAGAATTGAATTATCTAGAATTATTTTCCTGAAAATTGTAAATTATTGTGTTTTATTGGTATAATTTTCCACGTGGAAAACGTTAAAATAAAAGTGTTTTTTGGTATTCGTTTGATTTTATTTTACATGAAAATTATCAATTAAAGGGATAAATTTTACTGGTATTGGAGATTAACTTTGTTTCCATTGCCAACAAAAAAAATCAAGAAAATCATCTATCTTTTGGTGTTCGTTTAGTTTTATTTCAGATGGAAATTGTCATTTAAAAAGAAATATTTTTTTTAAATAATTCTTAGAATTTGTTTTCATTGCCAACAAATAAAAAAAATGCTACAGTAGGTAGGAAAACCAATCTCCATCAATTAAAAACCAAGAAAATTCCAAACTTCAAGACAACCTAGAATTCGAATTCCATGAGAAAAAAAATTGTATCAAGCACCTCAAGTTGGAAAATTTAATTCCAATTCCACCTTTCAATTCCATTTCCACCCCCATCAAACACACCCTTATGGTCTGATTATAAGAATGAAATTTGGGTGAAAAGAAAACGAATTTCAGAGTATTAAATTGTTTAGAATTTATTTTAATGGAAATTGTTAATTAAATGTGTTTTATTGGTATAATTTTTATCTGAAAAATATTGAAATTTTGGATCTTTTAATGTCCGTTTGACTTTATTTTTCATAAAAAGAAAGCAAGCTAGAAAATCCAATTCCCACCAAAACCATGGGAATTGGTTTCCACAATCCTAAGGAATATGGGTCACGTGAGGGTGAGGGGGGGAAAACAAATTTCTGGGAAAATCTAAGCAATCAAACGACGAATAAGTTGGAAAATTTTCCATGGAAAACCCACTGAATTAAACAAGCCCTTAGTAGCAAATGAATTTGTTATCATCATAGACATTTGGATATTCAATTTCACAGGCTTGATCGCTCATCCATAGTCGACAGGATAAACTTTGCCTATTGGTTGTCACATCAGCGGGTCAAGCCGCTTATTTTGATAAAAAAAAATAATAATAAAGAAAAAGATTTGACCCACCGACATCGTAATTCCACTTCAACGGATGGACAACATAAGTCTACTGTAAACATGGGACCAATTCTATTCAATTTGAATACCAAATTTGAGTAGAGTTCATTTATTGATTAAAAAGTAGATATTCAATTTCCACGCTGAAATCTCGACCTTTTTTTTATAGTGAAAAATTATTTATTTATCTAGCACGAAATCTCTTTTGTTCTTCGAAAATTAAAACTTCATTTAAAAACTCAAATCGTGAAAGAGACTGAAAAGGCATAGACTAGTGGTAACAAAAGCAATCAAGATTTGGCCACCAACACCAACTAGCATGATAGTGGAAATCGAGAATTTCCAGCTGTACACAACCTTACCAACTTCAAGCTTTCTAAGAAGCTTCTATTCAACAATTTCTCCATTTATATAAACCGGTCCAAACTAACAACATTTTTGTTCAGCCATAACGATAAGGTTGTTCTTTTTTCAATCTCACAAATCAAGAATCGACTAACCAATGGCTTCTTATAACTATTCTATTTCATCAAATGTTGTAGTTCTTCTGTTGTTGATGCTATGCACCTTTGGCTCTTTTTCTACTGGCTCTGTTGGCAACTTTTTTAAAGATTTTGATATAACATGGGGGGATGGACGTGCAAAAATACTCAATAATGGCAAAATTCTCACTCTCTCCCTCGACAAAGCTTCCGGGTCTGGCATACAATCCAAGAACGAGTATTTATTCGGAAAGATCGACATGCAACTCAAGCTTGTTCCCGATAACTCTGCTGGCACCGTCACCACTTACTATGTAAGTCACAAAAAGACGCTATTCTGGTTCTGAAATCATCTCGTTTAAAAGTTTACTTATTTTATTCTGCCCTTGTACTATGCATTATGCAGTTGTCTTCTCAAGGTCCAAACCATGATGAGATAGACTTTGAATTCTTGGGGAATCTTAGTGGCGAACCTTACATTGTTCACACTAATATATATACACAAGGCAAAGGTGACAGGGAGCAACAGTTCTTCCTCTGGTTTGATCCCACTGCTGATTTTCACACTTATTCCATTCTCTGGAATCCTCGAACAATCGTGTAAGTATACTACAAGACATAGAGTTATCGACACAACTAGACTGTCTAGTATCATCGAGTCCACCACTAATTATTTTTTTAAATTTTTTAAACTTATTTTCATTAATCTCGGTTTCTTATTTTCAGTTTCTACATTGATGGCACGCCGATCAGAGTATTCAACAACCTGGAATCGCGTGGAATTTCATTCCCGAAGAACCAGCCAATGAGGGCTTATTCGAGTCTGTGGAGTGCAGATGATTGGGCAACAAGAGGTGGCCTTATAAAGACTGATTGGAGTAAAGCTCCATTTACAGCTTCCTTAAGAAATTTCAAGGCCAATGCTTGTATATGGAAATCTGAAAAATCTTCCTGCAAGAATTCATCCTCAAAACCATGGTCCTCACAAGAGCTTGATTCTGAAAGTCAAGAAAGACTGAAATGGGTGCATAAAAATTACATGGTTTATAATTATTGTCAAGATACAAAACGGTTCCCTCAGGGCCTTCCTCAAGAATGCACTTTCAATGCTACAAGCAACAATTAGAGACAGGAAAATAAGTAGATATCATATATATTGTGTAAATTTTCTTTTTTCCTTGGCGTATTTTGGGATTCAAGAAATAAATGCTGCCACAGGATCAGTATCATATTTTGGTAATGTACATACAATAATTCATACTTATTATAAAAACAGAGGGATTTGTTAAAATGGGCTTCATACAATGGATAAAGTGGAAAATAACCTTAGGTTTTATAATTTTCTTCGGAAGGCCTTGGTTTTTATTTAAGAAGAAAAAAAAAAGAAAGAAAGAAAAAGAAAAAACCTGAGCCAATGTCATTACTTAACTCATCACAAACCAATAATGATACAGAAAGGCCCCTGGGGCATAGCTCAGTGGTGCAAAGAATAGGAGTGAGGTTATCTCACGCCTTGCTGACAGTCGCAGTGTGGGGGGTTTGATTCCTGAAATATGAAATTGAACTCCTTGTAAGCGTAGTGTACAGCCAACTCTTGTTCCCTGGCTTGATGGGACACATCTCGCGATTTACCTCTCTCACAAAACTCTAAAGACGGGACGTTGGAGGTCCTCAAGGTTGGGGTTCAACCTTTAATAATGATACAAAAAGTGGCATATAATTTATCCTACTAAAAACAGGTAAATTAAAAGACGTGACATCTTCAATATCTTTATTACCAATAGTTTCTTCTTTTCCAACTAGTCAAAATTTACAATTAGTGATGCACCGATCAAAATGGGGCAATGCTCAATCAAAACAGACCATCTATTCTCTACCAAATCAACTCAAGCAAAAACCGTGGGCAGAGGGGATTGGCCATTGTAGTTGAGGGGTGGGATGGGGCAGGACAGGATTGGTCATTATGGGGTTGGTGCAGGAGCTGAGTGGCGTGGGGCACAATGTAGAGAATGGATGAGAAAGAAAATGAAATTGACAAAAGGATAAACTTAGAATATGACAAATGTGTGTATATTTAAATTTTGAGGAAGAATATGAAATTGACAAAAAAGATGTACTTAGCCTAGGAGATAAATGTGGGTATTTGTAAAATTTTAAAAAATACAGGACAAGTCATTAAAAAATTAAATATAAAGAGAGAGGAGGTGAATTTGCATATAGTATATTGGACCTTGTTACTAAACATTCCATAGCCTATATGTGAAGATTGTTGAGGGAAATACTGCATGAAATATGGGTACCTTTTATACATTTTTTTTATGGCTCATTTCACATGATTTTTATCTTTATTTTTGCTTTTACTTTTTATAGAAAAGTTTTTTGAGAAAACTACCTTAATTTTTATTTTGAAAACTAACATTTTTAAGTCACATTATTTCTTGATCACAATTTATTTTTTCATTGGTCACAGATTAATCAATTTAGTGGTCTTAACTAATCAAATAATTTGTGACCATCACCAACACTTACGACCACCATCTCATCGTCACCTCCAGAACCACCACTACCATCACCAGAACCACCACTACCACCTCCCGACAGCAACACAACTACCTCAAACAAATCACCGCCCCACACAAACACCATCACCACTGACACACACAAACACTAGCACCACCACTACATAAAACATCACTTCGCGTGCTTTGGTAGTAGATTTGCTTTGCAAATACAGTTGCAGCTTTTCTCTCCTTCTGGGGTGAAGTGGATAGAGGATGGGTGATGGGGTTGTGCGGCGACGACGATAGAAAGGTGAGGAGTTTAAGATTGCCGGAGGTGACGGTGTGTGTAAAGAGCATGGAGGGAGGCAACAGGTTTGTGTAGAGAGAATGAATAAATGTAGAGAGAGATAAGGGAGTGGGAATCAATTAGGATTGTGATGCGTGTGTATTGGAGTATATATAATTAGTAAAAATATTGATTAAAATAAAATTTTTGATTTTTGAAATGAAATATTCGACCTGATTTTAAAATACTGAATTTTTAAAGTCGGGTGTTTCCACTTTAAGAATCAATCATCCCGCCTATTAATGGTCTCAACTAAACCCAAACTGGGTCATATCTAAATACAACTAGGAGTTTCAGCCCCAACTTTGGTAAAACCTTCTCGAGTCAATCCATGAAAAAAATTGACTGGAGCACGACTCTTTTTCAAAGAATAATGCTATCTAGTATCATTGATCTTAGTAAGACAATCAAAGTGGTTACATTTGATATGTTCAATTAAATAAATCACGTGACATTATATTTAAATAAATCTATCATTTAATACCATGCAGTTTCATAAACACTGTTGTGCTTGACATCAGTGATGCTGGATAATATTACTGTGTTATGGCCTCAATTTAAGTGACTACACTTAATCCACGTTTGGCCCCTATTTTTCCCAAATTTTAATGATAGGAATAGTGTTGTTTTAAAAAATGTGTGGTTGAAAAAGAATAAAATGTTTTTGATTTACGTATAATATTATTTTATGAAAGATAGTGTGATTAAAAATAAGAGAAAAAAGAATAAAAATGAGATGGGAGCCAAACGGGGGCTTAATATGTTCAATTAAATAAATTATTTGATATTGTATTTAAGTCAATTTTTCATTTAATATTATACATTTGTCATTTAAACTGGTGTTTAACACCGGTATTCCTGAATATTATTACTCTCTATTTTGATAAATCGGTGTGTTTGATAAGGAATACGAAAAATGCAGTTATCAATGCAAGTCATGAGAAATGACACGTTCGCCAATTTGAATGACCTCATGATTCCTGACTCTATGCAAAGCTGATTGGACTGGTAGAGAAAGTCCAGTCGGCTGTCGGCAGGTACATAAAGACAATAAAATTTCAAATTTCAATGTCTCTTCATGCAGTGACAACTCATACTCAGAGCTTCATACCAGTACAATCAAATGCTTATCTTTTACACATCTGTTTTTTTTTTTTTTTTTTTTTTTTAACCCAGGTGTCCCATCTTAGCCGGACTAAATCCTGGACCTCTAGCCCCCGACTCCTCAGTGACTAGTGGAGGTAAATCGCAGGTTGTGCCCTTGTTAGTTCCCAGATTCCCACATGGCTTTTACTCCTTCCCCAAAGGGACTCTCCTCCATGGTTATTACATCACCAAGCTACTACAACCCTTCCTCTGGTTATTACATCACTTGACTGCTCCAACCAGGAATCGAACTCCCCACACTTGGTTCCAGAGCCCCCCAATTGATGGAAAATTCTTTTATATATATATATATATATAAAAGATTGAATCCCAACCTTGAGGGTTTTCACTGTCCCGTCCCTAGAGCTTTGTGGAGGGAGGTAAATCGCGGAATGTATCCAGACCAAAAAACAAGAGTTGCTTGTACACTGCTCCAACAAAGAGTCCAATTCCATGTTTCAGGAATCGAACTCCACGCTGCGACTGCCAGTAAAACATGAGATAACCTCACTCCTCTCCTTTACACCATTGAGCTATGACCGGGGGCTCCAGATGGCAAATTCTATCTATAATGATGTGTGTAGATATAAATAAGTTGAGACTTCTGATGGAAATGTAAAAATGAACCTTCACTTTCCTGTTTAGAGAAGAAAAAAATATGGGTTCACTGTCATATTTTAAGGTTACAAAAATTGTGTTTTTCTTTTTACTGCTTATAATCATTTCAAGGGTTGCTTATGGAAGTAATTACTATGAAGATTTTGATATCACCTGGGGAGAAGGCCGTGGAAAAATTGTCAACAATGGGGAGCTTCTAACTCTCTCTCTTGACAATTATTCTGGCTCGGGTTTTCAATCAAAGAAAGAGTACTTATTTGGAAGGATTGATATGCAACTCAAACTGGTTCCTGGGAATTCTGCTGGGACTGTAACTGCTTATTATGTATGTCCTGTTTAACCTTTCGTCTAGTGTAAATACTTAAAGAAGGACATAATCGGTTATTATTTTTCATTATGTGATTAATTCTGTTTTATTTGTAGATGTCATCTCAGGGATCAACTCATGATGAGATTGATTTTGAGTTCTTGGGGAATTTAAGTGGCGAGCCTTACACTATTCACACTAATGTGTACACTCAAGGCAAGGGGGAGAGAGAGCAGCAATTTCACTTGTGGTTTGACCCTACTGCAGATTTTCACACATTCTCAGTTCTTTGGAATCCACAAACAATTGTGTAAGTATCCTATATTCGACCAGGATAAAGCTACTTCGACCGAAGATTTTAAAGAAAGCTTGACATAATTATGTGCGTTTAAAATTGTCCAATACAATGTCATGAGATATTATGTCAGACTTTATGATCCTGTGGAATGATTGATTCCACCCCTGGCTTTTAATAATTTCTTCAAAACTTGAATAGAATTCTATATAATTTGTGACGTTATTTACGAAATTACTCTATTTCAGTTTCTCTGTGGATGGAACGCCCATTAGAGAATTCAAGAATTTGGAGAAAATTGGTGTACCATTTCCCAAAACCCAAGCTATGAGACTATATTCCAGCATTTGGAATGCAGATCAATGGGCCACAAGAGGTGGGCTAATCAAGACTGACTGGACTCGAGCCCCCTTTACTGCTTCATACAGAAATTTCAATGCAGACGCTTGCACTAAATCTTCTTCTAGAGCTTCCTCTTGTACTTTTGCTGGAAAATCCAATCGCACTCCGTGGTTATCACAGGAATTGGATCCCCCACTTCGAAAGAGACTCAAATGGGTGCAAAACAATTACATGATATACAATTATTGCACTGATACAAAGCGATTTCCACAAGGTTTGCCTCCAGAATGCAATGCCAAAGTAACCTAGATAAATTTTACTACCCTGTTTTTGCTGTAGAAGTATTGGCAAATATAGTTATAAAATCCTGATATTATCTGACACCTACTACATGCTGAGGGAAATCTCCTTGTAATATATTGTACATTATCTGTATTTTATTAATCGTTTGTTATATATTTGAACTTATTTAGTATTTTTAAATAATCGTCCAGTACTCAAGTCTTTATTAATGATTTATTTATAAATCAATTGCAGTCGGGCTCACGTGGGCCCCTGTGTAATAAAATATGATCAAAAAAGTTGCCGACCCTATCCGTTGTGATTACCTATAGGAGGCCTGTAAAATGGAGTTCCGTCCCAGCACAGTTGTTTAATAATTAAACATTGAAACATTGATTTAATCTTAATGATTTTATAGAGTACTACAAGGGCTTTAGCAAAGCTTGTCGTTTTA